GGGGGGGAGCCTGGGGTGGGCGGGGGCGGGGGCAGACGAGGCCGAGGGCCGGTGGGGACACAGCGCAGTGACCCTTCCACCGAGAGCCCCAGGTCAGGCAGGTCTGAGGGGCCCTGGCTCCCGCGGCGCTCCCCACCCTGCCCGCTGCTGCGTGTGCGGTAGGCCCCAGGCGCGCCCAGCCAGGAGGGCGCGGGCGGGCAGCCAGTGCCCTGACGGGCTCTCAGGACCCCGCCTCACGCCCCCCGGGAGCCCGCGAGGACAGCAGCAGGCGTGGGTGGAGGTGAGGCGGACAGAGAGCCCGGCTCCGCACGCCCCCACCCCGGCCATCCGGGCCCCCCGGCCCCAGCCTCCCCGGCTGGCTCCCCTCCTGGCTCCCCACTTTCCCCAGCGCCCCGCAGGCCCCTCCTGGCACCCCCGGCCCAGCCTCCGCCCCGCTCTGCAGCAACTCACTTTTCTGTCGTTGAAGTCCACGTTCTCCCCCTCGTAGTCTCCCTGTGAAGACGGCGAAGGCGAGACCGGTCACCCAGGAGGACGCGGAGGCAACCCCCCCCCACCATGAGGCTGCCCTGCCCCACCAGGGCCCCAGACGCCCGCCAGAGACCCGGGGGCCGGGGCTGGTCGGACCGTGTCAGCGGTGGGCGCCACGTCCTCAGGGCCCTGACCAGGAGGGACGGTGACCGTCAGGCCCTCAGACGCCCCCCACATCTTCCCCAGCCGAGGTTCAGAGACACAACGGGCTCCCCTGGGACACTGTGGTCAGGGACTTGGCCCCGGGGGCTGGGCGCGGGCCCTGCACCAGCGGCCGGCGGCGACGGCCCAGGAGGAGCCGGGATGTGGCTGGAGGTCCCCTCCTGCCCACAGCTCTCGACACAGCCCCAGCCCGCACCCGGCTCCGCAGCGGTGACGTGGGGAGCAGCGTGCCCCCACCCCCCGAGGCTGCAGGGGCCCTGCCCTCAGCCAGCCGGCTCCCTCAGCCCTTCTCCCGATGCCAGAGGCCCAGGGCCGCGGGGCCGCCGGCTGGCTCTGTGCCCACGGCGGCTGCCGCCTGGGTGCCCGACAAGGCTGTCGTCAGTGGACCAGAGGGGCGGGGAGGGGCAGCAGGTCAGCGGAGCTCCTCTCCCCTGGACCAGTGTCGGGGAGGGGCAGTGGGCAGCCCGTGGGCACCCGCGGCCTCCAGCCACCCCTCCTGCCACCTCTGCACCCCCGTGGCCCCACTGCGGCTCTCGCAAGTGCGGGTCTGCGGAGGGCACTGCCGAGCCTCAGCCAGCCGGGCGGCGCGCCCAGGACGCGGGACGGGGTGGCGGGAGCAGGCCCTTCCTCGCAGGCGCACCCCACCTCCGGGCTCCCGGCCTTCCCAGTCACGCACACTCGGGAAGCTCCAGAGAGCCTGTCCAGGGTTCCCACACTGCTCGGCCCCGCGGCCGTTCCCAGCACCCCTGAACTGTGGCCCGTTTCCATAGAGATGGTAGGAAGAGATCATCCCGCTGTCCAGCGGGCGTCCGCGGCCTGGGCTATATTTGTCGGAATACCAGAGGGATTTGGGGCTCGGTCCAGGAAGCCACTTGCTCTGCCGAGACCCCTCGGGGCCGGGAGACGGGAGGGAATCTGAGGAGCGGCTGGCCGTGAGGGCCGGAGAGGGGGCGCCCGCCCCTGCGCCCTGCCTGGGGCGGGGGTCCGCCAGAGCCCGGCCTGGGGGAGGGCGGCTGGCCCCGGGCTGACGTGACAGGACAGCCAGAGCAACCGCAGGATAACGAGAGGCCGGGGGTGGCCCCCGGGGGTTTGGGGGTCAGATGACGCAGGCAGCCGGGGCTGTGTTTGTCAAGGTCACTCACGTCATGCAGGGGGTAGGCGGCCGAGTAGACGCCGGTGGCCAGCAGACTGGTGATGCCTGCAAACGGAGGCAAGGGCGGTCAGGCCTGGCCCTCGCGCCCGGCAGGTCCGGTCCAGGAACGTCCATCACCGAGAGCTCTCCCCGGGCGGCACTGGGCCCGGCCGCCTCGGGGCTCACGGGGAGATGAGAAAAACACGCTTG